GATGAAGGAGTGAATAAATTGGCAAAGGTGATACAACAAGTTACTGATAGACCTGAAGTATAATCCTCCTTTTTTTGATTCCTAGTTCAGAAGCTTGTTCAGAGGATCATTCCTCAAGAATGATGATTTTGTAGCTAAGTTATGGAGGTAAAAATCAGAAACTGGTGGAGAAGGGGAGGGAATTAAGTTGTGTTATATCAGATGTGATGCTGGTAGTGTGAATGTGATTAGAAATGGGTTGTGTTATATCAGATGTGATGCTGGTAGTGTGAATGTGATTAGAAGAGGGTCTTGTCTAAGGGAATATAGATCGTTGCAGCATAGACTCCATCTTTCATCTTTGGCAATTCAGCTGGAAACAAGGAATTTCAACCTGTTCTAAAGCAAATGTATCTATTTGGCCACAAGAATTTTGCGTTTAGCTTCTTTGGTAGAGTAGTAGGTAGAGATCTTTATTATATAGGGATGGTAGGACTGTCCGCTCAAGTGTCAAGCCCAAATTAGGTAGGGTGAATACAGCTCTAAATTCACTTAGTCTGCAAAATAGGGAAAATGTTTAGGGAAATCATAAAGCAATATAACTGAAAATAATTTGAGGACTTCAGATGGAAGGTGTTAATAAATTGTTACATCTGATGTGAAGTCTGAGGTATTGAGAAGCCCAGTTTATTACTTAGGCAAATGGTTGATACAGTTCTTGACTGTGTGCAGTTGTGTGTGTGATTGAATTCTTGATTCACTATTTTGATGTGTCCTTCATGTGTAATCAGAAATATCTTGGCAGGGTTGATTTGTCTGTCTTTTTCCTGAGTAAAGCCATTAATTTCTGATCTGTGATGGCAATGGAATACCTATCAAGTAGTAATAAATAAAACAGAAGTTTATTATCTTGTATTATATACCTTTCTGATACGTTCTGAATGTTTTATGACCTAATAGATTACTTATGGAGCATATACGGTGATATAATGTCATGCAAGAGTAACTAATGTCAGTTAACACTCTTCTGGGTTAAATGAGATACCCACAGCTGAGAGGTTGCTGGTATCTCTTCTGCAATTGGGATTCAAGTTCCTGTGTCCTGGTCCAATGTTCAGTCCCTTAACCTGCACAGAAACCTTAAGCAGTTGACAGAAAAGTAAAGCATAATTAATAACCAGTTTTCAGTCAAGCTCTTCAATTTTACAGCTACATTTGTTCCATGCATGATCACAGGTAGGTGTCTACAGACTCTGAATAATGGTTATAATACCTATAAGTAGTAGTGCAAAATCATCAGCAAAGTAGTTCAGTATTTTGTCTTTCTGCACCCATTTCCCTAGCCACATTCAAAAGAGAAGGCAGATTAAAAATAATGTTTTCTTGAATGAAACACAGCCAGAGCACATTTCAAGGAAGTGTCCCTGTCTGTGAAGTGCCTAAGCTGATCTCGGAGAAGACAACATAAAATCTGTCTGAAGGCTTTGCTGAACCTGTGCCTAGAAGTCTGCCATGTATATTCAAAGCCATTTTCCAAGTTCTTTCAACCACATAGTGCTACACCAATCAATCCATTATTGGGATGTGTGAAATTCATTTTAAAGCATGCCCTGGAAATGATAAATAGACTCTAAGAAAGGCAAAATGATGTGACATTGTTTTCAGATCGTACTGACTGCATGTAGTAAATATTTATATCATTCTTCCCCCAATGTAAAATTGATGCCACCATATGTGTTTTACTCCTTATTAGGAAGAGTTAATTACAAGCCACAGTAAACCTATTTCCTGGAGTATTTTTCTCTTGCAAAATACCTATTTCTGTAATGCAGACCGTATTGTTCTGCATTCCCTACAGAGGTGAAATGATTACAGGTAAAAAGGCCTAACTTAGGAGCATTAGCTGTATGTTAACCACTGAAATTTAATGACAGTTAAAAAAAATAGATTCAGTAATGTGTATGCCCACACTTATATAAAGAGTCAGAAGTTTTGTGTTTTTCAGCATGGTTCTGCTAACTCCTTGTGTACGGTTAGTGGTTTGGCCCAATTCCAGTCATTTCACACATACACATTCACTTTACCCATGACTTCCACCCTTTTGTATGAATATTTCTGTTAACTTCAGAATGCAACTGGTTTTCCACACTTGAATAATGAGTCAGTTCTAACACATTTTAGAGGATTCCTCGTTATGTTTAAAGAACCATAAAACCTTTTTTTGCTTCTTAAAAAAATGCATTCCAAGAAAGCTATGCTGTTTTCCTTAAACATTCTTTATATATTTATTTAATATGAAAAAAAGGCTCTTATTTTGTTGTGGCTTGTATATTCCCCTGTAATGCTAAATGTAGATATCTTCAGCTGCATGTTTAAAGGGGGAGATGAGAGGAGCCTGAGCACAAGTGTCACAGTGTCTCTGGGCGAATCCATCAGCTTGTCTCATTCTCACACAGCATCTCTAGCCCACAGCCCGTTTATTCATTTAATATGTTGCTGCAAAGCTGGGATCTTCTGTGACCTCCCCTTGGAAACATAGCCCAGCTGCTTATGAAAAGAAGGAAAAACACTAACATAAAATAGCCATTAAAGAACGAGTGTAATGCAAAGCATCAGATGAGATTTTTCACAGAGATATTACACCAGTGACTCTATTTATTAGAGATAAGGAGCTTTATAACCAACAGGCTGACTTCAGCACTTTAACTGAATAACAGCTAAGTAGGATCCGGCAGAAGAACCTTACAGGTTATTGCACACTTTATATACATATATATCCACTCAGAAGGATAGTGCTTTGAGAGAATAACTCTCCAAGACTTCATAGACAGAAATGTCCTCTAACAATTTCCTGTAGCCAAAATGAATGAGGAGGAATCAGCAAATTGAACCTCCTCTTAATTATATTTTTATTTGTTATATTTTGTTAAGCTGACAGCACAGAAAACCTTAATCTCTACTAGTCTACAATGGCTTGCATGTGGTTTTGATGATTTGAATAGGAAAAGCAGGACCGTTTTGCTTCGGATTGCGTTCATTTTGATAAAAAAAGTTTCAATGCCATGCTGAGCTTCTGCAGGAAAACAGCCCTTTTTCCTTTTGGCAAAGCTTCAGTTCTCTAGTAAAACGCTCATGAGCTGCGATTCTGCTTTAATCAACACAATTTTTGTATGTGAAGGAAGGACATGAGGGTAGGGAAAAGATGTCATTTGTAGAGGGAAAGTGAAGTTTCTGCTAATAAACACAAAGGCCTTAATTTCCTTTTTAGTGTGCATCCATAATGGTTGCTAATGAGAGCTGAAGCTACTGCAACAGCCATAAGCATCAAGAAAATGTACAATCTGTGAGATTTGGGAGGAAATTATGTTAACTGTGCTTTTTTTTTTTTTTTTTCCTTCTGACTGCTTAAAATATAATTCAGATGTTGATGAATATCTGTTTTTAGCTGCACATCTGATTAAATGGTATGGCTGCCAAAAGAAGTGTTCTTCTCAATTACATTTAACATCTTGTGCTGCAGTAAGTAGGACAATTCACGAGCAGAAATTGTTTGTGCTTTTCTGAGATGCACATAACGCCTGCAGAATAACCACAGGATAAATCCGTTTTAACTGGATAATTCAGCAGTTGTCCCAGCTTATGGTTATGTGGTTTTCAATTAAAAAGTTGTCCCAGTTAGAAAATATAATTATAAAAAGCTAAAAGATATATAGACATGTACCAAGTTCTTTATCATTAAAAAACTGCCATAGTTGATGTTGAACCCACAAGGCTTTAAAAGTTTCATAAAAAGCTACAAAATAGAATTCCTTTTTTTTTGATGTTGTTTCTTTCTTTTTTTAAGAAAACTTGAAGAAATAAGTGTGTTCATCGCTGAATTCTTCAGGGTGAAACTGTTACTTAGCCTTTTTTTCTGGTGAAATACTTCAAAATTTTGTTTAGGGTAAATGAAGGAAGCCCTTGGTGCTTCTCTGGTGCTGGTAGTGTGACCTTGACAGAGAAATGTGAACATCTCTCCCATCTGCATTTTACAGCTACGATATTTGTAAGTTCTTGAAAATTCAAAATCATTCTACCAAAAGCACCCAGATGTTGGCTTTTTTTTGACATAGAGGCAGAAATACCCTTTGGTGAGGCAGAAATACCCTTTGGTGTCAGTTGTTAGCTACAAAATATCCCATGTTATTTTGCATTTCTCTGCATCTGCTTGGGGTCAGATTAGTCTTTTTTTCTTTTTTACATCTATCTCCAGAAGATTTTAAATATGGGTATTTTGTCTAACATACTTCCCAATGAGTACAGGTGATTTTGTTTATTTTAGTACAGGGTATTTCACAGGGTATTTTCTCAAAAAAACCCTTGCACTCAATATATTGCCTTTATCTGGGGAGAAGCCAGATCTCCTCCTGAAGGAATGTGAAAGAAAACAATTTGATGAACTATAAAAAGCAAGGGGTCCTTCTGTGTCTGGTTCAGACTAGTTGTCTGCCCCTGACTTCAATTCCAAATTTCCCCGAATGTGTTCTTGCTCTGTCATTGCATCATTAGCTGGTATTGTGGATAGGAAGAAGGTGGAGAAACAAATCTGGAGTTAACTCCTTATTTACCACCCGTAGCCTTTTAGGAACAGTATGCCTGCACAAATATTTGGGTATATTCCTATTTCTTTAGCTATCTGAACGTTGACATTTCTATACTTAAAACTACCAAATAGTGTGAAAAATGACAAAGGAAAGATAAAATAAAATATTTTTCTTGCTGGCATTGAAATTAAAAAGTAAATTTGCATTCACTTAAGTGGAAGGGATTTGAGCCTAGTTCCCACATGGCAATATACATTTTCTCAGGAAAAAAAAAGTATCCCCTGATACTGTTTTTTAAGCAAGGAATTCTGACCCAATTCATATTTGTTATTTGTAAAATTTAAATCCTTTCCTCTCTCACAGGCACTGCATGAAAAATAATGGGGGAAAAAAGAAAACTTGTGCTGTAGATTTTATCGTGTTTTTCTTGTTTATTCCCGCAGGCACAACAGCTAACAGATCTGGAGCAAAAACTAGCAGTTGCAAAAGATGAATTGGAAAAGGCGGCCCTTGACAAAGTAAGAAGTATAACACAATGTGAGCGTGGTTCTTCGCTATGAGTATTTTAGTGTAATTTGACAGAAACAAATGGAAGCCTCGCCAGGGTTTAGATGCCTACTTAATTGTCTGTATGTGGGAGTAATTGTCCCGAAGTCACTGGGCCTAATTGTAATGCAGGGAGTTAAGCGTGATTGCAAAGTTGTTTAAGTGGAGGGCAATCAATCTGGAAGGGAATATCCTCTAAGGAATATCCTCTAAGTGTAGCTGTTTGTTACAGTGAAGACGGGTGTGACGGAGAAGGCAAAGAGCGCTTGACATGAGGAGCTTTTAATGGGAATACTATTGAGGAATGCCAGCCGTTTAGGCTGCAAGCACCTTCCCCTCCTGTTTGAGTGCTTTTCTGCATGATCCAAAGAGTCAGGCCTGGCCAAGGGTCCATCCACATCTTCATCATCCTCAACAGGCTGGGCAGTGTTGGCACTGGCAGTGTCACCTCAAGGAACAGAGATGCCGTACCAAGTACTGTACACTTTGGGAACGTGAACCATGCTTGAAATGAGGAATTGAGCCAATTGAGGCTCAAATGTGCCTCTAAATGGAGGTTATTATTGCATTTTTTTCAGAGATTTCAGGCCTTTCTGTTAACTATTTGTCTTAAAAGTTGCTCCTGCTGACAGTGGACTCGGTGTCTCTCATAAGTATGTTTATATCCTGGCAGTTTTCTAGTGCCAGTGATGAATTCGTCAATGATTTGTATGACCACAAACTCCGTTATTGTATATTGAATTCAGCAGTGTAACAATACAAATGGGTCTGGAAGATATAAAAACATGCAGCTGTCAGATGCTGTCAGTGTTTTTGGATACTGACTGGTTGTCTTCTAAATTGGCCCAGTTATGTGACATGTTTCCTAGCTCCAGCTCTATGGAAGTTTGACATTAAACATAGAATATATGTCACATTCAAAAAAATGTTCATTTAGCAAATAAATTAAAGCAAGGTTTGGTGCCTTACTGAACTACCATTGCTTAAGATTCATATTGATATAGCTGTGAGATATTTTCTGATATATATATGTGTTGTTTTATATAGGTAGCATGGAGTATTTTACATATACATATAATCTTTCCAGTATATACCTGACAATCATTGACTGATGCATCTTTAAAAAGTCTTGGAAGCTGGAGATTTACTAGCTGGAGTGCTGGTATGCTGTATGTACAGACACAGGACTAATACAAAGACTAAGGGCAAGGTTTCCTAAGGAAGAATTTAGCCAATCTCCCACTGAATTGGCTGTCGGTTACCTCCACCTCTGACATTTGATTATAAGGGACAAAAAATTAAAGAGCAAAGATTTAAAGCCAGCTTTCCCGAACTGTTGCCACAATTGTGTTACTCTCCTTCCAGCTGTACTTATTTCAATGACAGATTGCTATTCTCATTAGTATAAACTATATCTATATATATTTCTGTATTGTGGCTAAAATTGGGGTATTCAGCTGCAGCTGCAAGCATTACCTTGTAAATATTATAAGTCTGCACACTGCATAATATTTGGTAGATGGCATTTGTATTCCTTTTAAGATTAAATAACATTTATGATTAAATAAGTCCTTGTGATAATGTGTGTGGCTAGAATTGCCTGGGTGAAAGAGCGCAATGACTTCCTAGGCAGTTTGATGTGTAATGCAGAGTAGCCTATGTGGTAATCGTATTAAAAATATATTAAATGGCCTTAAATTCTTGCTTTATTTTTAAAAAAGAGAAAAGGCAGTAGCTTCTCCTGACTTGATGCAGAGGGGGCAAGCGAGCGGTGCTGGTGACCATAACCCGTCCCTGAGAGCCGGTGGCTCCTTTTCCCCCGCAGGAGTCGCAGCTGCGGGCGCTGAAGGAGACGGTGCAGCTGTGCCTGCTCCCTGTCGCCCGCCCTGCACAGCCAGCTTCCCGCCGGGAACGCGAAGCCGTCGGAGCGGCCGCCGGCCCCCGCGAGCGGCGGCTCCAAGGCGCCCGTCCAAGGCACGAGCAGGAAGGTAGGGCGGCCCTGGGTTCGTCCCCTCAGAGCATCGCGCTGGAGCTGAGGAGGACTTTAAAGTCATGGAAAGATTAGGATGAATTTTGAGAACAATTCTAACCCCTTTCCTGCTGTCGGTCAGGTTTTAACAAGCTGGGAAGCAGCTACTTTCCTTCCTTGCTTTTCTTTCTTTCTTTTTTTTTTGAATTGCCAAAATACAGGTCTGTGCAAAAGGCTCATATAATTTTTTAAGATGTTAAAATGATGCAGAGCTTGATGAAAAGAGCTTTGAAGAAAAGTGTTTGATTTTAAAACATTTTAACGCAGTCGAGAATCAGAGCGATTAACAACTACCCTGATAATCTCCAGCTACAGCATTGTATTTTGCTGTTGAATTTGACTATAGAGACCTAGAAAAAAAACTGTGGTTTCAAATAAAAATGCAAGTTTTACAGAAGGATAACCGAAGGGCAAATTAATGCGTCCCTTAAATTCTGACTAGTCTTAAAACACTTTCCTGAAATATAATTAGGAATTACTCATTACTCATTGCTATTAGTCATCAATTTGCAATTTCTGTATGTAGTTTCTATTGATGCTGCTATTGATGCGCTGTCATTACGGAAGTGGAAACAAAAAAAAATGAGCAAAGCTTTCTATATGCAATTAAGGTTGAAATGTAATTTGACTAAACGGGATATAATCAGGGAAAGTGCAAACTCATAAGGAGACTGGATCTCAGATTGCTAGTCTTGCACTAAGAATTGTAGGTTCCTTGATGGCCGTTATATGGTAAGAAGCTTTGCTTTTCGGAAATATTCTCTCCAGAAATGGAGCGATGTATTATTTAATTATTTATTATTATTATTATTATATATGTATTTAATTAAATTGCAGCGGCTCATTTAGATGAAGACCCCATGCTCCATGTTCTGCAGGAGATGGAACTCTTCCTTTAGGCGGTCTTGACCGAGTTGCACCCTGGCACCTCAGTAGCACATTTTTCCTTATTAACGTGGCTCGCAGAATTGTCTGCTCTGTTCTTATCGTGCATCTTTTCAGGCTGGAAATGTTTGTGTCTCTGTCGTGGGAACACAGGAGCGCTCCAAGATAAGGTCTAACAAGCTGCTGTGTCTGTCTTTGATGCACGCGTAGGGTCAAAGGCTCTGCAGCATTTGAGATCTCCTCGGTTTTGCAGGTATTGCTGGTGTGGCAGAGCTCTTTGGTCTAGGAGATGAGAATCAGACTTTAACCCTCTCAATATAAGACACTCTTCCTTCTTTTTCCATGTTCATATGGGTTCTGTGTTTAATATTCCTGTTTATGAAACACGTGATTATTCCCCTGCTCCAGCCTTTGCAGAAGCCGCAGTCTGCTGCACCCGAGTGCTTGAGTGAGTGATGCTGCCTGATGGACAGAGCTCATGTGTCTCTGCACTTGGCATATGCCATGAAAATATCTGAGAAAATCATCGTTTGCAGTCCTGCTCCTCCACACGCTGACACCTCATTATTAGAAATCTGCGCTTTATAAATCTGCAATTATAAAACAACTGAAAGCTCCTCCTGCGAAACAGGTTGTCAAGGAATCCCAGTCATTCCAGGATTAGACCCTCTCCTTCTGACCTGGATTTTGGAAGGCTTTTTTTTTCTTAAATCAATATAATGATATCCCTTCTTATGTTTGCATTTCTTGCTTTGTCTTCCTCCTACAACCCAGATGCAAAAGCTTTTTCTTTCTGTTAGATTTGCTTGAAGAGTTTTAAATAGCAAGCTCTATTAAATATTAGGCTCTTTTATATTTTAGGCATATATAAATATGATCAACTAAATGCTTTTGTATGTAAAAATGGCAATTTCTGATGAGCAATACTTACGTCCCTTGTCATGTCTGAGAAGCAGTATTTTGACCTTCAAGAAAGAAATGATGCTCTTCCTTCAAAGACACATCTATCCAGCCTAATATTTTTTTCTAAAAATGTCAAATTTTTTTTGAGGCTTTAAAAGGCTTTTAAAAGGTTTTTAAAAGCTACATCATACAGTGTGTCTGTATCACCAGGTGCCAAGCATTCCTGGAATTGGGATAGAGTCCAGTTAAATAGCACAAATAAGTAGATTATGTATGGTATTTGTAGCTTGGTAATCATCATATCTAAGATTCTTTTAGTATCTTCCTCATAGTGCTTGTTAGAGATGATACTGAAGAGAAAAACAGTGTGTAGAAAGGTTAATTAGGCAAGAAAATTGCCAAATTTCTTGTAAAGGTTCATTTGAAAATGTAATTTGCTGTTGATGTATTTTGGTTTTTCTGGAGACAGTGATTTAAAGAAACATAAATCAGAATATAAAAGCTGTTGATGTGGATAGCTCAGGGATTTGGAGTAGTGGATAGCAGCAGGAAATTTTAACATTTAGGCTGTAGAAAACAGTTACAAAAGCAGTTACAATCTGAGGTGCTTTTGGTGGCACACGTTAAATGAATCAGTAATCTTTACATTGGACAAGAGTGTAAGTTATGGATTTTACCATCTAAAACTGGCACTAATGTGTCCAACCAAACCCATTTTCCTGTAAGAACTGCTTATAGCCCTGCTGTATATGGCAGAATGTTACCAAAAAAAAAAAAAAAGTGACCTTGTAGCACTCTTTTTTAATCTTTTTTTTCTCAATTATTTGAAATTATTATTTTTTTTTCATTTGTTTTAATGCATCTTTCTCATAGAAGCTAACATTATACTTAGGAGGTAATTGTATAATTGTAGGTGTCATGCAAGCATCTTTGATGGTGCAGTGTAAATATACCTGGGTCCCAAACGCAACAAAATGAGCTTCAGTAACACTGAAAAATTAATGGCAAACTGAACCACAAGTCAAACACAGGGAAAGTCTCTGCATCCAGTAGCAAAGACGAATACAGAAATAACGGGAAATTTCATTATAAATGCTGAGGATTTTTGTGTATTGGGAAAACGGCACTATTTATCTTGGAAAAAAACCCAAAATTTTAGTGGATCACTTTCAAAACTCACACTTTCCCGTTTGTCAGAAATGACACAGATTCTGCAAAAGCTTTTGGAACAGCCGTATATGAATTAAAGACCCTGAATTTTCTGTGTTGCCACTTTCATGTATTTAGGGTGACAGTCAGCCTAAGTGCATAGGTACTGAGCATCATCAACTCTAGATGCTGAGCAAGACTGCTGGAAAAGTCACACAACTGTAGCCTCAGGAGTCTAAAGTCCCTCACTAGTTTGACCAGAATTTCTGTTTTTTCAAAAAATAAAACTTCTTTATAAAGGATCTTTGATTTATCCAGGCTCAGGACCTCACCCGTTCCAACTGAAAGAATAGCTGCAAAATCAGAAAAGACAGATAGGAATATTTTATATAAAATAATAATAAAATAGTTAATGTTGTGCTGAATATTTATATTTTGTATTATGTTATTGATGGTGCTGTTGAGTAGTCAAATACAATTGATTACAAAGAAAACTAATTTATATTTAGCTAAATTATATATATGACTTTATACATACACCTTTCAATGGACTGAAGAAATGTCTGACACACATAGATTGGACTAAATCCATGTTTAGGAAGACTGAAAAGGGGATATCTTTAAACTGTGTTTTGAAATTTTTTTTTTCAGGTGCTCAAAAACTAACATAATAGTTTCAGATTCATGAAAAATGAACCAGCTGAGTGTAGCAACATATCATTTCATCTCTCTCCCTTAATAGGTCAGGAAAGAAATCAACATCAGAGCAAATTACTTAATTTACATCTTCTAAAGTTGGAGCTATTGGTCCAATTGCTTTTATATTCCAGTATAAATGAAGATTTTGACCCTTCAAACAAAGCAGTCGTAAATTTTTCGTTCAAGAACCTGTGAAACAAACAACACTAGTGTAATTACAGGCTTATTTTTGTCTTTAAAAGGAGGACTGAAACTCTCAAGGCTTTTCTAAGGTGTCCCATTAGTTTTTCTGCGGGGTGAGCTCTGTTGTTACAGCATGCAGAATGCAGAGCTTGGCAGTTATTTCTCTCCAGGTAGTAAATTTCAAGCTTCAAATTCAATTAAATTCAATTTCAAATTTCAAACTTTCACCATCATATAACCCTTTCCTCACACACAAATGTCAAGAGAAGGTAACAGTGTTGAGAAAAGGATGCCAGTCATTTCCCCAGTTAATTTCCAAGAGAGGAAGGAATATGTGAGTCCTGCTAAGGTACGTGCCATGGAAACCTCAGGTCCTAAGAATATCTGTAAGGTTAATGTAGTAAGAAATTAGTTTTTAAAAAGAAAAAAAAAGTAATATGAGTGCAGAAACATGACTAGAATGATCTATTTCTTCATGGAAGTCTTTCCTCTTCTCCTGCTTATACCTTGCTGTAGACTTACAGATGATATTTTCACGATCAACTAGATCCCAGGCTTATATTACTTTTCCTTTAATGATGATTCGTAGCAGAACGGCAGCTCCTCCTTGTTTCATTTTCTGAATTTGCTGCTGCACAACCAGTCCTTTTTCTTCAGTGACTAATTTTTAATAAACTTTCATTACACGCTGGAAAACATTTGAACACCAGATATATTAAACTGAAAGGTGAGGCTGTTTGATTTTATTGCTCACTTTAAAGGAGACTTCATTATTAGCACATTATCTTGATAGCAAATTAGTTTTAGAGGGTTTTTTTTCTTTTTTTTTCAACTGAGTACAGTCAGGGAAATGGGGAAAAGGCACCTGATGTGTCTTATTTGGCCCATAGTGCGAGCGATTATCAGTTGCACATTAGTGAATGTATTTTAGGATTTGTTAGTGTTAATGTTTCTTTTCATACACTACTTTATGTGGAAAAGAAGCAATGAAATGTGCAGGGGAGGTAATTAATCATTTTAAGTGGCTTATTAGCTTGAATGTAGATGTGAGAGTACTTCCAAAAGACTTCTGCTACTCAAGGATGCGTTAATGATTTATATGATAATCGCTAATGTCCTTACCCTATATATAATATGTGT